CATCTGCTTATGCTGTCTGCTACTGCTTCTGATATCATTCTACTGTTTCTGCAACTACCATCTGCTTCAATAAATGATCAAAAACGGACAGAGCGAGTAATCCTTCCATGCCGACTGACAAACCCTATTCAGAGGGCCGTGAAAACGGAAATAACTGAACACATATAAAATGACACATTTTTTTCGCCTGCAAGTGTTACCTCCTGTAGGTACAACCGCATGGGAAGGAGATCCCTGGCAAAGATACTGACAGAAATGATGGGCCGAAGAAAAGAGACAGTGAGACATTTAATGGGAGGGCAGGAGACTGTCTCCCTGACGACCGATATCTGGACAGACCGAACGATGAGGAGTTTCCTTGGAGTGACTGCCCATTTGCTGGCTCCTCATCCGAAGACTCAAACATACCAGCTCTTATCCATCCTGCTGACATGTCAGAAGTTCAAGGGAAGGCACACAGGAGAGGCCATTGCAAGGTCTTTTGACAATGTCCTTGAAGACTTTGGTATTGGCAACAAGGTAAGCCTGTTACATAACTGCCCCTCCCAATCAAGGCCCCGTTCCAAAAAAAAAAAAAAAACAGTGACTGTGTTATTGATGCATGTACTTTGATACAAGTTTGTTTTGATCACCATTTTTTCAGAATCCCCAATAATATCAAATACAATGAAATGTTGATCATTAAGTCCATTTTGCTCTGGAAGGACAGAATATTTATTTTTTGCTTGATTGAGGTATTCTTATTTTTATTAATATTTTATAAATGTATTGAATCATTTTAAAATACCAAATGGCATGGTTCTTGATAACTTAATTTGGCTGTCCCATCTTTGTTTTTCATTGTTTTTCTACCTGAGGGAAAGGAGGATCAGGCTGCAAAATTTTCATTCCAAAGCACAAAGGACATTGTTACAATGAGCTTTTGCTGTTATTTGATAGGGGCTTGGGGAGAGATCTCATTCATTAACTGAAATGTGTGTTCTATAATGTTAAAGGAAATTTATTGAAATTGATGTTTACATATACCTTGGTAATGACAGCTCACAGGTTCAGTTCAAAGTATTTGCTAATTTTATTTTTACACTATCTCAACAACCTGGAAGCAAACAACATACTTATTAATTTCACCTGATTTACCAAGGCTCAATTGTCTAACTCTAGGGATTTGCAACGTTCAGAATCTATCTGCACTGAAAATGAATATCATTTATGCTATCCTATGTGCCTTGACAGCTTCACTGCAGAAGTGACTAGTGACCAAGTTATAGTGCCTTGACAGCTTGACTGAAGAAGTGACTAGTGACCAAGTTATACAAATCATTGTCAGAGCCATGTGTCCTTCCACATTTTCAGTTGTCACCTGCCAAAAAATGTTGGATAACTGTGAGGCTTATGATTTTTTTTTTTATGTCTTTCTTTCCACTGGTTTAGGCGGAGTTCATTGTGACAGACAATGCGTCCAACATGAAACGCGCATTCTCCTTAGAATTTCCGGGGATAGACCTGTCTGGAGCCGAAGAGGAGGAAGGGGCTGGTGTAGAAGATGGCGACCTCTGGGAGGACCAGGATGAAGAGGATGCGGGGGCTGTGAGACAGGCATTGATCTTGGCCTCTAAACACAGGATCCCATGCTTTGCCCATACACTCCAATTAGTCATCGGAGACGGTCTCAAAGAACTGCGGGCAGTTGGGCAGGCCATTGCGAAGGTGTCAAAGCTGACAACAGTACTGCACAGGAGTGCAGTACTCAAAGAAAGGTATTAATACTACTGTAATTATACAGCCCAGTAACCCTAATTTACCCAGGCTATTTTGAGAGATGATATTCCTTGGGGTGTGGGGGATTATGGCACCCCCCCCCCGGTAAATTAGGGTTAAATGATTCTAAACTAATGGTGATGTTACTGTAAAGCTTCTACAATTTGCTGCAATTTTGTTACAGTAAAACCTAATAGGTTATTCTAAACTAATGGTGATGTTACTGTAAAGCTTCTACAATTTGCTGCAATTTTGTTACAGTAAAACCTAATAGGTTATTTTTGGGGGGGATATTTGTTTTCATTGAGGCTAAAGCTACATGTAATTGGGAGAGGCCCTGGGGAGCAGAGTCGGAGTTGTAGAAAATTTGAATGAAAAGTGAAGTGTACATTGTACCTGAAACTCAATGGTGCAAGTGTCTAGAACATATTGTCATATTAAATACAGTATGTACACAATAATACATTATTTTTCTTAATCTTTAAAATTTTAAGGTTTGAGGAGCGTTTTGGTGTGGACCGAACAATACCAGCTGCGAACTCTACACACTGGAGCTCTGTCTTTGTTCAACTCAAAGCTCTACAGAATCTACCAAGAGTTGATTATCGAGCGATTGCTGAAATCTGCGAGCCGGTGGAGTTCAACAACCTCATTTTCACACGCCAAGAGTGGGCTCAACTTGCTGAATTGACGACAATTCTGGAGCCTTTTGCTGATGCAACAACACTCACACAAGGTATGTTCAGGCTCCACCTAGACAAATTTTTGGTGATTGCACATTTGGACCATCAGAATCATTCATTCTTTTTTGTTGGCCCAAGCATGGAATGAGGTGGCCCAAAACATAATAAATATAGTTCATGTACTAGTACATTCTTGGACAAATTTTTGATGGCCCAATAATGGCTGCCAAAATATATTTTTTAATCCGGTTCTTCAAAGCTAAACTCCAGTGGTCCCGGACTCCCATGTCACAGTGAGATGGCTACTGCTATTGTTGAGCCCCTAGGTATGCTATATGAAGTAATAAATCTAATATTTAATGACGCTTTGATCACCTTTAAATTTGGAAATAAATTATATTTTTAGTGTAGCAACTCCCATTTATCTTTTGCATTAGGGTATTCTACTCATTATTACAAAGCTATATTAACTTAATCTTAAGTATCATAGTGAATATTGTTGTATACTTAAGGGCTACACACTAAGCATTTTTTCCTTGCTGGTCAAAACAAGTCATTAATCACTTGTCGGGCCAGTAACCAATTTTATTAGCCACATTTGAAAATTCTTGGGGCCTGCAGCTAATTATACTCGTCCAGGACTATCGGATCAGTGCTTGTGTGGAGCCCTGTATATTACAGTATCCAAGCAAATTATTCCCCTTTTTTTTCTTTAGGTTTAAGAAGAAATTGAATATTTTGCTAAAGTTGTGCTTGTTCTTAATTTCGCATTTCTATAAATTTGTTTAATTGACAGGTGATCAGACAGCAACCATTACAATGGTGGTGCCAGCCATCCTAGACCTGAACAGTCATCTTTGCAAGTGGGCAGATGAAGCCAAGTTTTGCCGGCCGATTGTAAGGTGTCTTCAGTCTTCCTTGAAACGGCGATTCAGGGGGATATTTATCCGATGTCAGATGGTTGAGGGGAGCGGGCCTGCTGAGGATGAGCCCTTCTTCGAGAAGCTTTTCTTCATGGCCCCTGTCATCGACCCACAGTACATGCTGGAGTGGGTGGATGATGTCAGTATGCCAACGTGGTCTCTCGATGAAACGGAGGAAAAGAGGAGAAGTGTAAAAGAAACCCTGAAAGGTACAATTCAAGATGTTCAGAGCAATTCCATGAGAATCGCTCAGAGTATGTAACATGAATAACATAAGATTATCTGCTGAAATATTCTTTTAGAAGAATTTGGTTCAAAAATGTATTTACTGTGCTGCTTTTATTTGTTTGATGCAAAACTAATGATAATCTTTAACAATTTTAGGATGAGTACTTAATGTTACTCACGTCACATACTCTAAAAAATTCTCATGGAATTACCCTTCAATTATTTTGTTAAATTAGGCTTGAGGCTGCAATTGCATATTCAGCAAGACTAAATGTCCATGGTTGCAAGAAAATTAATTATATTGAAAATTCTTCTGTTTGTATTTGTGTGTGCTTAAAATCGATGCTATTACTAATTACTTTACTCTTGATTTTGCACATATCACTAACTATTACCAGGATCTTTAAATGATAGTAATACTTCATTCTTTACAAGTAATCATTTAATTATTAATAATTTTTCAAAAACAATGTGTATCCAAGCTGCTTCACCTAATTAGGATGAAGAACCATGGTATTCCTTTATATTCTTTGGTGGACATGATGGAAGTAAAATGTTCTGATTGTTGTATCCATTGCCTCTTATTTTTATTTTCTAAAGAAGAAATCAGAAGAAATTTCTAAAGAAATCAGAGCAATTTTTATAACTTCTGTCTTTTGTTGTGTAGCGCTGGTTGTGTATGAAGCTGAACGGCTTGGGAAAGACCAGCCACCGGTACAGGAGGGGCAGCATGGAGGCAGCACTAGCGAGGACGGAGTACCGGCAAAGATGTCTAAGTTCGCGGCCAAATACAAGCAGAAGAGAAAGCGAGAAAAAAGTGGTGGCAAAGAGACTCCGCGTGCCCAGTTAGCTTCCTATCTGGAGAACGAGGTGGCGGGCGAGGAGCCGGTGGCATTTTGGAGACCTGGCGGGATGGCCAGTGTGAAGTATCCTGCTTTGTTGTTGCTGGCGCAGCATATCCTACCGGTACCTGCGAGCAGTGCCCCTGTTGAGAGAGTTTTCAGCAGGGGGGGCATTATCATGCGGCCACACAGGGCGCAGTTGTCAGCAGAAATGCTGGAAGTTTTAATGTTTTTGAAATGTAATGAAAATGTGTTGGTGCTGTCGTAGTAGTAGTATTAGTAGTAGTGATATTAGTAGCAGTTGTATTAGTAGTTGTTGTGTAATGTGTACAATAAAAGGCCGGGAAACTGACTCTGTGCTCATTTATTGCCCGTTTATTGTCAGTCACAACACTTTTATATCCACGCTTTCCGGCAACTCAACACTTTACGGCCGTAACGTCACGCGGTCGTAACATTACCCTGTGGCTGTAGTTACATGCCACAGTTGTAGTATTAGTGGTAGTGGTAATAATAGTAGTACTCGGAGAATGTTTAGAGATTACCGCTTTTTCTGCAGTCAGTGATTGACTTCTATGCAAAGTCATTTCTCAACTTGTCTTCCGTGCCATGTCATGCCTGTTGAGTGTTGATTTACTTCATATTAAGAAACTACTGGACTAAAACATTAATTCATAAATGTATATCATATGTTTGTTTGTTTTTTTCCTCAGTATAAATAACACGTACCCTGACTGTTCTACTCTTTGAATAAAAACACTTCATTCAAGCGTTATGGAGTGACGTGTGCTAGGGGTTATGGTGGAGGGGTGTTGCAAATCATGAAGACCTGCCAAGTGGTATGATAGCATTGCTTTGTACATGTTCTCGGCTAGGCCTCGGCTTCAACATCAGTCCTTGATCCTTGACCTTGTCCTCGGCTAGGCCTCTTTTCACCTCGGTGCCCACAGCCAGGGCTGTAGAGACTGTTAGAAGAAACCTTTTAGATGACAAAACGCTAGCTGAAGGAACTAAACCTTTGCCGGAACACATTTGTGAACTGTGAAATATGCCTCAACACAACCTACTTCAAATTCAGGGACACGTTTTACCACCAGGTCTTTGGATGTGCCATGGGATCCCCTGTGTCTCCCATTGTGGCC